TGAATAATGCTGAGTGTAACCAAATAATAATAATCAATTAAAAACAGAACATTACTACTGAAATTAAAAATATAACACTGGGTGACATTGATACCCATTTCACATACAAATCTGCATATTTTATAACAAATCTTCGCCTAGGAAAATGCAACATTGAAAGATCTTAACATTCTTCTGTAGTTCTAATAATGCCAATATCTTAGTCACTGATTTTGATCATTGAACCTTAAGGAAAATTAATATCAGAAAAATTCATCAGCAAATCCTCACACATCACATCATAATAGATTCACATTTCCCTTTCAAATCTTTCCTTCCTACTTTCTACTCAAAAATGTGTGTGGTGGGGGCAGTTAGGGCCATATCCAGCTTGCTCAGGGATTACTCCTGACTCTGAGCTCAGGAATCACTCCCGGTCAAGCTTGAGAGACCATGTGGGGTACCCGGAATTCAACCTGGATGGGCTACATGCAAGGCAAGCACCCTACCCACTGTAATATTGTTCCAGCCCCTTACCTTCTACATTTATTTCTCATTTATTTGTTTAGGGGAAATATTTGGATATAATGGAAAACAAAAACACAACTAATAAGGATAGGGAAATTGAGACTTGCTCTGCAGTCTACGTAGATTAATATACTTCCTATAAGATATGAGATTCAGGTTTTAGTAATAGATGATCAACACAGCACAGCCCAAGCAAATTGTTGATTAGTGGAATATGGCACAGTCAGACCTTAAGGACACCATAGAAAGTATGCAAGAACACTTAGCATTGGGATTTCTGTTGATGTGCTTGCACTGATTCTTCCTGGATGTAGGTTATAGTTACTAATTCCTCATTGCCTTATTAGTCTTAGACTCAACAGCTCTCTGCCCGAGTCTGCTGCAAGATTAGAGAGGAGCAAGGATACTGAGCCACTGAAGAGTGCTTGAAGGGTTGATAGCACTGAATATCAGATCCATGAAGACCAATGTCTTTTGGTAGATAAAGCTTTGCCCTTAGAAAATTAGAACTGAGAGATTCCCAAAGGTCCATGGAAGTTTGAATAGGAAATAGAACTCCTTTCAATTAAAGGCTACTCTTTTATGTGAAAATTATTGCTGACCGGTAAGAGAAAGCCAGGAAGGGTGAAATGTAGAATTACAATAGTTAGGAGTTGCAGGTTAGTGAATCCCACAGCTACTTCTCAGTGAAATCAGATTTGTCTAGAATATCTGAGACAACATGAAAATATGAAAGTATACCAGAGGCTGACTGAAAAGGTGTATAGTAATAGGAAAGATAGTGACCTGCACATTGCCTAATAAAAAGGATGAGCTTCAGGCCTTCCACAGAACTTGGAGATACAAATATAGGGAGCTGGATCTCTTTGTTCACCTTCCAAAACTGATTGTTGGGTTAATGGTAGATTAATGCAAGACTTTGAATTAAGTGAAGGGACCCGTTTGATTTTTGTATTAGTTATTATATGTTATGTTCTGTGTAGGATAACACTCTTTTGTCCTTCCTCAGGTAGCTTAGGTTTGTCAGGTCACACCCATCTAAGGACACTGAACTTGTATTGTAAGCAATGTCCTTTCTGTGTGGACACAGGAAGACAGTTAATATTATGCTTTGTAACTTGGGAGTTGATTGACTCCGAATAATATTTACTCCTAGGCATCTGATTTCTTGACTCAGTTGCCCTTAGTTCCTAGCACCCCAAAATCAGAGTCCCGACGAGGGACTGAATGGACCCAGGGCAAGCAGTGAGCTACCCTGGCATCGAAATGGGCCAGGTCAAAGAGCCACGATACTCAACTATAAGTTGAGGGCATGATCATGGACAAATGCTATCATGATCCAAAAGTAAGTAACAACGAGATTAGGACCTTGCTGGAGCTGGGAAGATTAACCTGGCCTGAGGACTGCAGAATGTATAGTGAGATGGTCTCAGGAAGAACCAAACTAAATTTATATCTCTTACTGTGCTCATACAGAATGACATTGCTAGAAATATTAGAAGTACATTTATTACAACTATTTAAGTAGATTACTAACTGAGGGAAGAACATACCCTTGTTGGGATCCCACCCTTGAGCAGATCTCCTAGTAATCTGGAGTAATCTCTGTAGATGAGATTTTATCCTTGAGTTAATCTCCTGGAGGAGTGGTCTTACCTCTCTTTGTTGATTCGTCAATATTCAACCCACCTTTATGTCACCACCTTATGTGACTGCTATATAAACTAAGACGGTAAGCTTGGAGGAGGAGACTCAGAAGCGAGAGAGCTCGGGCTCTAGAGATCCAGAGTCAGAGCCAGAAGGAGAGAGGTTCCAAGATTGGGGCCCAGGAGAGAAGGAGGCAGAGAAAGATAGGAGTGAAGAGGATTGGAATAAACTACTATTGATATAGACTGGCCTGGCCCTCGTTTCTTCTTCCGTCTGCCCTTGACCAACAGCCATTCTGATCCAGGCCACACACAGCGGCTCAAGAGCACGGAACGCAGGCGGCGAGACAGTGCCATCCAGTGAGCCCGTGAACACACAACCTTCGGCGTGATAAGATTTTACAGTTCTGGACCCAAGAGAAACAGTTTCTCAGATCATTTTTTTTTACCTGCTACTCTATACATCTAAGTCTATAAGCTATTGTCTTTAAAGGAAGGCCATTTCACAGTGAAATTTAGACCAACAATATAAAGTCAACCAAAAGATTGATACTTTCATAGTTCTAAAACCCTGATGAGATAAAGCAAATGAGTTCATCAAGACGGGTCCTGCTAAAGCATGTAGTTATGTTGAATATCTACCTTAGGTAAAGGATCATTTTCTAAAGGTAAACAGGACATTCTTTGTGGATTGCTATATGGGTTTAAATTGCTAATCTATGTGCTAATCTTATATTCTGCCATAAATAAAACCGTGCTAATACAATGTTAACATTCTTTACTTGCACTGCCATTAAACTATCTCTTAACACTGCAATTCATCACAAAGACTGCAAGATCAAATTTTTCATCTTACTTTAAAAAAAAAGCAAACAATGTTGCCACAAACAAAGCCTACTTTGTAATAGAATGGGACTTTTCTCCCTGCATAGAGCAGCATGGAACAATGGTCAGTTATTAATATAAGGATGCTGGGGAACAAAGCAAAAGAACTCGCTTATAATCTACTTAAACAGATTAGAGAAATTTTAAACTTTCTGTAATTTTAGAAATTATCGAAATTTTAGAAAACAAGGGGCAAGAAAAAAGAAAAGCATATTCTTTGATTTGTAGGGCTTGAGCAAATGGAACAATGTAATGCTTTCCCCAAAATTACCCCCAAAAAAGCTTATTATAATTTTTCTCACTATTCCCTTTATCTTTTTAAAGTTTTTAAATTGAGGTATTATAGTTGACAAAAGTAATGGGGTCATTATTTTATAGTTGCAGAGCTCTACACTAGATCCCTTTCCAGTTATTACAATTTGTTTTTAGAAAGTAATCTTTCCAAGTAAATCGAGGGATGATCGGCTGACCAAAAAGAAAACCTCTTTTGTTTTAAAGCTTGTTGCTGCAAATAATCCTAAAGGTATTCTATTCTATTTACTACCTAGGACAGTCCACAGAAGTAACTCCCCTTTTTCTGTGATCTCTGCCTGCATTGATTCTAGCTTAAGATGGAACTGATTGCCAAGAAATTGTACTGACTCCATGACAGTCTGGACCAAAGTTGCTTTTAATTAAAGAAGTCTGAGTTTTCTGGGGATGAATCTCTCACTTTAGTCCAACCTACTCCCCCCCACGCCACCTCCCGCCCTGATAACATGAGTCTTTCCACTTAAAGGACAGTTTGTTGTCCTTTCACGAAACGAAGTCTTAAAATGCTATGGAACTTGTGCACAATAGGGAATCATAGTTTTGCAAAAACAAACCAATCAACAAATGCCACCAAGTGAATGGTATGCAGGTTAGAAGAAGTCATCACTCGGAGAAGGCCAGAAACTCATTTCCTAAGGTTTTAACGAAGTGTGATGATGTAGCAAAGTCGATTTCGCACCCTATCCAAAAAAAGAGAAAAAAAAAGGGAAAAAAAACTAAGATCGTCTATTGCTTAGCAATCTTAAGACTCAGTGAGGTCTTGCACAACTCGTTATCCGCGGACTAAATTCAAGCCCCCACCCCCCACCCCACGCCCTTGGGGTGCAGTTTTCCCTCGGAAAGTCAAAAACCCATCCTCAGCTCACCCAAGGCTCAGGGAGCTCAGTCGCAGAGTTTGCGGGTGCGAGCAGGCGAAAAGGGCCCCTCGCATCCCACCCACCCCCACCCCTCCCTCGTTCCTCAATGATCCTCTTCGGCTTTTTTTTTTTTTTTGGTAAAAGAAGAAGGTGAGGGCAGATCCGGAGGAGGGATGCGGGCCCAAGGCCCGACCTTAATTCTAGGCCAGACACAAAGGTGAGCCGAAGTGTGCGCGAGAGAGGTGGGGAGGGGTGAGGCGTGGGGAGGGGGAGGAGGACCGGGCCGAGGGAGGCTCCTCGGGGCCCCCAGCCGGGTGGCGTGACTTCAGGAGCGCCCAGAAAGCCGGCCAGGACTGGGCAGCAACGGAAAGGTGCCAGCGGGGCGGGCGAACCGGCGAGCGGCAGGAGTGGCGAGGCTGGGGGAACGCCCCCAGCCCTGCCCCCTGGCCCCGCCCCGCGCCGCGCCAGGCGGGGCGGGAAAATGAAAGCCCGGCGGGCGGCCGGGTCACGAGCCGGGGGCCGCCCAGCGGCGGCGACCGGCTTCCCGGGGTGGGCGTCTCGGAGAGACCGCGCGTGCCTCACGTCCGTCCCCGCCCCGCCCCCTGCGAGCTGCGCACGCGCGGCCCCGCCTCCGGGGCCTGTCGCCCCGCCCACTTCCCCTCCCCCCTCCCTCTTCTCGCGATCCGGGCCGGAGTGCTGGGGCGAGGGGCGGGGCCGTGGCGCGGAGGTGAGGAGACCGCCTGAGCCGCCTCAGTCCGGGCGCGTGAGGCGCCGCCGCCGTCGCCGCCACCACCACCACCTTTGCTACCCTCGTCGCGTCACGGGGCTCCGGGGCCCGCCCTCCCTTGGCTCCTCCTTCCCGCTCCGTTTGCCCCCTCCTCTCTGTCCTCCTCCTCCTCCTCCTCCGACCGAGCGGCGGTGACTTAAGCAACGGAGCGCGGTGAAGCCCATTTTTCTCCTGCTGCCTCAGCGCCGCGCCGGCGAGCCCGCGGCGCGCGGCCCCCCACCCACACATACACACTCGCACACACACACGCACACACGCACACAGGCGCGCGCGGCTCCGAGATGAACGCCGCGGCCGAAGCCGAGTTCAACATCCTCCTGGCCACCGACTCGTACAAGGTAAAAGAGCGGGCGAGGGGGATGGCGCGGCTCGGGGGCCAGGTGACGTTGGGGAGGGCGCCTTGGAGGACGGGAGCGCCGCGGCGGGGGTCCCGGGGCGGGGGGCGCGGGCCCCCGAGGGAGGGAGGGTGGCCCGCCGGGCGGGCGCTCGGGCAGGTGAAGCCGGCCCCGCAGGGGAGCGGGGATGGACGGTCAGGACGGCCGGCAGCGGGAGGCGGGGCCTGCCCGGGCTGCGCGGGGCGTGCGGCGCGGCGGCAGCGGCGGCGGCGGCCCGGGCTGCCCGGGCTGCCCTCTGGACCCTCCCTGGGGCCGGAGCTCCCCGTCGCCTGCCCTCTCGGCAGCGGCAGCGGCAGCAGCAGCAGCAGCAGCAGAAGCGCGTACCGCCCTCTGGGCGGGGGGCCGGCTCGAGGCTTCTCCCGGGGGGGTCAGTTAGGTACCCGGGCCGCGCGCTCTGGGTACCGAGCAGGTTACGCGCCCTTCCCCCCCCCCCCCCCCCCCGCTCCCCGCCTCTCCCGCACACGCCGCGTCCCGCGGCGGGCAAGGGTCCTTCCGAGGGGGTGCTGGAAGCCGCCCGCCCCGTTCCGGTGCCCCCACACCTAACTGTCCCCGGGTCGCGCGCTGCGTCCAAAACTCCTTTGCTGCTCCCTCCTCCCACCCCCCCCCCCCACCCCGCGCCTTGCGGGTCACCCGTGCCCTTTATCCCCGGGTGCAGAGGCTGGTGTTGTGTTATTGCCCTGAGTCCCCTTCGGGTCCCTGTAGGATTTCGGGGAAACGGAAAGTGAAACACGACGAGTTGAAGAAGAACTATTTTAACGCTGCAGAACCGGGAAGGAGAATGAGGGAGGGAGGACACACAAGCTTAGGCTTCTTTGAGACACTCGCCTCCGTGGCTGCCCCATTCATTTGATCGGAGGCGCGTTAGTATAAAGCAAAGAATTTAGAGGGGAAACACCGGCAAATGTTTCGTTCCTTTTTTTTTTTTCTCTAGGTGCAAGGAAACCTTACTACAGTTCACTAAACTTTGTTAGCAAAGACGCACCTCATTAGACCAGAAACTTCACTTGGCGCAAAATATATTTTAGGGTTTGTTGTTTCTACTTGCACAACAGGGCAGCTTGGAATATGGTGGTGAAGGGTTCATGGGCTCACCTTTGGGGTTTTGTTGTGATTTGTTTGTTTGTTTTGCAGTGTGGGGTTCAAACCCAGGGTGAGCACATGCTCACAGCTCATCACCACTGAATTTAAAATCTCTTCCATCTCTGAACTTAAAATCCCTGGTATATTTTGTATGTTTCGGTTCACAATTCTCGAATCTCACTATGCCTAGGTGATTTCTTGTCCACTTCTTAGAAGTTCACTTAATTTTCTCTTTATAATTTTGACGGGTTTTTATTTAAAGTAGAACCAAGTGTTGCTCAGTGGTCTTTTTTAGTTGAGTTTCGAAGTTAGACTGTTGGAATACAAGATCATAGCATAATCAAGTATTGTTTACATGACCCTAAAACTTCCTCTTCTGTTCTTTGATGTCAGTCAGTGTCACAGGTATCTTTGACAGTGATTTTAGGTCTCATTACTTTTACTATAATTTTGTGGGGGTTTTTTTCCTTGATAGCTTTAGAATAATTTTTAGATTTTTATGTATAAATTTAGGATTGAATTACAAGTGAGAAATGTAAACAGAAGCTGATGGGTACAGGTTTAAAAAAAAAAAAAGCAAGTGTTCCATTAGGTTTTATCTCCCCAAGCCATTATACATAAGTAATGTGAAGTTGTCTTTTGTGGGGGAGCAACACCTTGCTTGCTCAGGGTTTACTCCTAGCTCTGCTGGGGGACAATATGTGGTAGGTGGGTATAGAACCCTAGTAGGCTGCATGTAAACATCTTAATCCCTCTACTATGTATCTCCAGCCAATGTAAAGTTGTTTGGGCATTGTTTTCAGGAGAATACTGCTAACTTAACGATTGTGACTGAGTTACTTTAAAATGTTCTCATTTGGAGGCTGGAGTCATAGAATAGCAAGGCGGGTCAGGGTTCAATCATTGGGACCCCAGATAGTCTCCCCTGAGCATCACCAGTACTAATCCCTGAACTTATTAGAGTCAGGAGTAAATCTTGAGCATCTCCAGGTATAACCCCAAAACAAGACCTTTTTTCCCCTCCATCTCCTGGTAAGGCATACTTAACTCCACTAATAGAATTTGTATCGTGTTAATAAAAATGTTTATTCCTGTGCTTGTGTTTTATGGTCCCTTTCTGATAAGAAACCTTATATTGAAGATTATAGTCTAGTGTCTTGCTCTTCTCCTTTAAAATACCTTCAGGAAAATAAAAAAAGGTTATGTTTTATGCCAGTGATTTATAGAAAATACAGTAAAATAGGTTTATGTTCCATATTCACATTTTCCTCTTTCAGATTCATTACTTTTTAGTGGTCTTTACAGTCTGTATTCTACTTTTGCTTTTTTGTCCCCGGTGGAAAAAGAAGTGATAATCCTGAAGTTAGAAATTAGAAGTAATGATTTTTTTTTAGTTACTGAGAATGTTACATATTCTTCCTTGTAAGTACTTGACCAGTTAATGTCAGTACTAGTAGCTTTAGAGGTATTCATAGAAGAAACAACATTGCTGATCTCTTCTCTCTAAATCTGAAGGAAGGATAATCGGTTGCTTAAGAACTACAAAGCAGTTTCTCACATGGACAGGATAGTATCCAAGCACCGAAATACATGTGGAGGAGGTGTTCTTATATCTTCTGAAGAGAGTGCAGAACTGTTAGAGCCAGAGGAGAAACATTTAAACTATTACATACTCATTTGTATATTCTCATTCCTTACTATAAATAATAAAGAACTGAGAAAATAAGTTAATGTAGTTCTGTTTTTAATCCACTTAAGGTATGTTTATTACAAATAAAAGGACACAGGAAGATTTTCATAATCTCAGCTTCTCTCTCACTGTTTCTGAATGAGCACTTAAGTACTATTTTATATTAGGATTGAGCCTTTTAGGATTGAGTAGGTAAGAACCTACTGCAGCTTGGAATCTAGTGTATTTTTAGGTGCTTTTTTACGGTAACATTCTAAATTATAGAAAAGATTTGAGCAAGTTGATAAGATTTTTGGTGTAAATCATGAGTATACTTTATAGGAAGATTAACTTTTGTAAGAATTATTTAGTACCTTGCAAAACAAAGTACCAAAATTAGTCTGTATAGGTTGATTAAATCCTTCTTGAAGGTTTGGCAAAAAAAAAAAAAAAAAGGTTCAGGTTGTCAGGATGTCCAGAATTCAGTGCCAGGAAGTGGAAGGGATATTTTCTTCCCTGCCCACTATAATATAATTTAAGACTCTATAGTTCTCTTAGAGACAAATGGTAATGAGTATTGTCTTAAATAATAGTAAAGAAGAAAGAATGTTGTGATTTTTGCTGTTTGTAGCACTTCAGTTTTGAAGAGGTCAAAAGTCTTGGAGACTCAGTGAATACCCTGTTGAGTTTAAATATTACATAGAAAAGGTAGCTCACTCTGTCACCATGTTACTCCATGTGCTCCTGAATACAATAGGTATTTTTTAAAAGTTGACTTGTGATTATTTCTTAGCAGTTATAAAATTATAAATGGAAAAGTGTGTTAGTAGTACTAGTCTTTGCGTATATGGTCCTATTGTGGAAGGAAAGCTTTTTAGACATTGTATCAGCCTGAGGGGAAATCTAAAGAAACTCAGTTGAAAAGTCGACAGATTTTCTTTTTACAGAAAGAGTCATACCATTGTAAAAACAAATAATTTTCTCTTTATTTCTTATTTTCTGGTAGTGCCAGAGATCTAGGACTGGAGTGATAGCACAGGGGTAGGGTGTTTGCCTTGCACACAGCCGACCCACCAGAGCCAGGTTCGATTCCTCTGCCCCTCTCGGAGAGCCCAGCAAGCTACTGAGAGTATCTCATCCTCATGGCAAAGCCTGGCAAGCTACCGGTGTCGTATTCAATATACCAAACACAGTAACAAGTCTCACAATGGAGATGTTACTGGGCCTGCTCGAGCAAATCGATGAACAATGGGAGGACAGTGCCACAATGCTACAGTGCCAGAGATCTAGCCTAAGACCTTTCCCATGCAAGGCTGATACTTTACTGCTTAGCTTCATGCACTGTCCCTCTTAACTGTCAAAATTATTACAAGGATTATTTACTTGGAGATTATATTTTTGTTGTTGTTTTTGCTTTGGGATCATACCCAGCAGTGCTCAGGGCTTACTCCTGTCTCTGTTCTCAGGGATCACATCTGGTGATGCCCAGGGGCCCATATGGGGTGCCGGGGGTTGAACCTGAGTTAGAAGCATGCAAGACAGGCACCCTGCCTGCTCTGGCCCTTGGAGTTATAGGTATGAAAAGTATGGTTTTGTGAAGTAAAATTTCCATCATATAAATGTGAAATTAAGTTCTGTTAGGAGAGCTTCCCCCCCATGTTCCTTTGTTCTTTACCACATATCCTTATGACTGCCAGTGCTCTCTGAGCTAAGAAAAATCTTGCCATTTTAGTAATTTTGTTTGGGAGTCATGCCCGGTGGTGCTGGTGCCTTCTCCTAGTTCTGTGCTCTGGGATCACTTCTGACAGTATTTGAAGGGACCATAGGGTACTCAGAATCAAAGCCCATACCTCCTGCATACAAAGCATGGGCTCAGTTTGTGGGCCTATCTTTTCCGGCCCCATGAAATGAACATCTTTAGAGTTAAGATTTACCGTGGATGTTACATGAAATTTGCTATTTTTTTCTTCATCTTGTGAATTACTTGATTTTTACTGTAGAATCATTGTATATGAACATAAAAATCAGAGCAGTGCTCAAGAAAAAGAAAAGTTAACATAATTTTAGAGCTTCTGTTATATAAAGGTAAAAGGTAAAGGTAAAGGCCCTCCCGTTGATCGTCGATTTGCTCGAGCAGGCCCAGTAACGTCTCCATTGGAGACTTTGTTGTTACTGTGTCTGGCATATCGAATACTCTCGGTAGCTTGCCGGGCTCTCCGAGACGGGCGGAGGAATCGAACTCGGGTCGGCCATGTTGGCCGCTTGTAAGGCGAACGCCCTACCCGCTGTGCTATTGCTCCAGCCTATTATATAGTTTAATTTTAAATGCTGTGAAGGTTTTTGTTAGTATTACTTAAACTGAACTGATGATATCCCTACATAGTCCTTTCATAGCCTTCTCCATCTCAATAAATGGCACAGTTCTTTACCCACTCATTCATTCCAAAAATTTAAGGACATTGTTACATTTATTTCATTCCCTCACTTTCCTCCAATCTCATCTAGCAATCTAACTCTCATTTACCTCAAAAAATACTGAGTCAGTTCTCTTACCTAACCTACACTTTGGCAGTAATGCTTCTACTCCAATCTGTGCTTTTTCTGCCTCACTACCAGACTAATGTGTGAATTAGAGCATATTCACTCAAGCTTAGTGTTCACTTCCCACTAAAGACATAAAATCCAAGCTCCTGTAGTAGCCTATAAGCTTTTTGTGATCTTGGGAGCGGAGTACAGAGGGTAGGGTGTTTGCCTTGCACACTGCTGACCCGGGTTTTATCCCCGGCTTTCCATATGGTCCCCTGAGCACCAGCAGGAGTAATTCCTGATGCAGAGACAGGAATAACCCCTGAGCATCACTGAGTGTGAACCAAAAAAAGACCAGGGATGGGAGGGGGCGGGGGAGGGGGGAGCTTTATGTGATTTTGTTCCAGTCTCTTTACCTGACCTTATTATGTACCTACACTCACCCACTTCAGCCATTCTTTAAACTCAGCCTTTGTTCTACTATGTTTTTCAGGTCCAAGTGTATTTTTTATTTATTTATTTATGTACTTGTCATTTAAACTTTGCTCCTCTGTTACCATCCCAGAGAAGCATTTCTATCACCCTTATTTATTTTTGAATTAAAAACAATTTTGATTCGCCATTTGCAATACTATATGCAGTTTCGTAGTATTTTTCACATTGTAATAAGTCTCACAAAGGAGATGTTACTGGGCCCACGCGAGCAAATCGATGAACAACGGGAGGACCGTGACTGTGACTGTGATATGGCTTTGTACTTTAGTAAACCTGCCACCACACTTGTCATTCTCACTAGCAATTTGATCAGTTCTCCTTTCTTCTCCTCCCACTTTTTCTTCCCCTTCAGTAACTGCTACATTTTCCCTAAAGACTGTTTTTTGGTTGTTAATTTGCATTTTTTTTTTTTGTTTCACAAATTAGAAACCATTTGGTAATTGTTTTCGACTTTGATTCATTTTTTTTAGCATAAAGACCTGAGTTTGTTTCTAAGTTTTGGCAAACACTGCCTTTTCATCTTTTATTCATAGTTGAATATTTGTAGTCCACTGAGTATATGTACCACAGATTCTTTATCCAATCATCTGTAGATGGGCATTTTGATTTTGGTTATTTTGAATAAGGCTGCTGTGAAATCATTGTACTGTATCTTTTTGAAGTAATGTTTTCCTATTCTTTAAATAAATAGGAGTAGAACTGCTAGATTATATGGTATTTCTATTCTGCTTTTAAAATTTATTTTTTATTCATTTTTGGGAGTGGTTTGGGCCATACCCAGTAGTACTCAGGGGTCACTCCTGACTCTGCACTCAGGAATTACTTCTAGCAGGCCTTCTAGCAGGCTCAGCAGACCATATGGCATACCAGGGATTGAACCTGGGTTGGCTGTGTGCAAGACAAGCTTTTCCCACTGTACTGTCACTCCAGCTCCTATGTATTTTTTTTGCAGAATCTCCATCCTGTGTTTTCCATAAAGAATACATCAATTTACACTTTATGGTATATTGGTGTACACAAAATGACAGTTCCTTTTTCTTTATACCTTAACCAACACAAGTTGTTTTCAGGCTTTCAATCTTTTTTATACAGATAGGTCTCACAGTCGTTTTCCCACGTACAAAGAAAGTATGCACTACAGAACTCTAAGCTATTTCTATTTCTGTTTGATAGAGAAAATGGATTTATAAAGGTGTGCCTTTAAAGTTCTGAACTGATGAGGATGATCAGAATAACTTGAGAGTTACAACTATAAATCTGTTTTAAAAATGTGTAGAAGGACATTGAAACATTCAAATTTTATTTCATCACAGATAAATTTTTCCTATCTCACCACTCTTTCCATTAAAGGAGATGGAGTTGATTTAGATTGTAAACTGATTTTTTTTTTTTCATTTTTACAGGTTGGATGTGTTTTCAGGAAATGATAATTTTCTAATCAGTTCTTAAATAGTTGAAATAATTATATATCTATTTGTGTTATTTTTACACTTTATTGAATTGGCTAATGAGTTTGAATTTGCTCTAGACTTTATATTAACTATTTTATTTAGCTGCTCAAATCTATTTTGGTGGGGTCCTCCCCAGCATACTGAGGAATCTCTGGGTCACCCTTGATCCTGGTCCAATGGTGTTGGGCTTAATGATTAGATGATCAGGCCCTGTAGATGGCAGTACTGCATGGGTTTACAGAGGCCAGATTTTAGAGTACTCAGGGGCCACCAGGGCTATACCCAGCAGTACCCAGGGAGCCATGTGGTGCCGAGGATTGAATCTGGGGCTTGTACATGCCAAAGCTGTTCTCCTCCTCTCCTAAATTTTCTTAAACTTACAGTGGGCTGGAGTGATAGCACAGTGGGTAGGGTGTTTGCTTTGCATGCGACCAACCCAGGTTTGATTCCTCCATTCCTCTCGGAGAGCCCAGCAAGCTACCGAGAGTATCCCGCCTGCACGGCAGAGCCTGGCAAGCTCCCCATGGCATATTCAATATGCCAATAACAGTAACTACAAGTCTCACAATAGAGACGTTACTGTTGCCCACTCGAGCAAATCGATGAACAACGGAGGACAGTGCTATGGTGGTATCAGTTTCCATGTTATCAAAGAACTGCAGATAAAAGTCAAAAGTAAAAAAAACCTAACATGAACTTCTAGGACTTGATAAGGCCTCCTTATACCTTTTTGTATATGGATACCTCTTGTTTAGAAGTAAAATAGAAAGCTTCAACTCTGACATAGACTATCATACTTTTAATATGATTCACCTCCAAGGTTGGTTTTGAACAGCAAAGAGTGCTATTTTTAGCACAGTAGAAATGACATCTGCACCAGTATGTTCATTGCAGCATTGTTCACAATACCCAGAATCTGGAAACAACCCGAGTGCCCAAGAACAGACAACTGGTTAAAGAAACTTTGGTATATCTAGATAATGGAATACTGTGCAGCTGTTAAGAAAGATGAAGTTATGAAATTTGCTTAGAAGTAGATGTTCATGGAGAGTATCACGCTAAGTGAAATGAGTCAGAAAGAGGGCAGACATAGAAGGACTGGACTCATTTGTGGAATATAAAATAATATGAGACTGACACCCAAGGACAGTAGACACTAGCTCCATAGTTGGAAGCCTGTCTCATGAGCTGGGGGAGAAGGCAGCTGAAATAGAGAATGGATCACCAAGTCAATGATGATTGGAGGAATCATTCGGAATCAGAGATGTGTTCGGAATGGGGAAAGTAGGTAAAGGACCAAACATGATAGCCTCTCAGTATCTATATTGCAACCCATAATGCCCAAAAGTAGAGAGAGAGTGTGGAGGAAAATGTCTGCTATAGAGGCAGGGGAATGGTTGGGAAGGACGGGAGGGATACTGGGGACATTGGTGGTGGAAAATGTGCATTTGTAGAGGGATGGATGTTCGATCATTGTATTACCAAAACTCAAACATGAAAACTTTGTAAGTATATCTCACGGTGATTTAATTTAAAAAATAAAAGAGTTCTATTTTTATAATGTCACAAGTTGATTTCATTGGAGAGAAAACCTATTTTAAACTCAAGTTTTTACTACATATAGACTATAGTCATATTACAATGACCCTATACCTTTCCTTAAAACAAAAGTAGAAATTTTTCAATGGTGACTTAGCTAAAACCATGAAAAGTGAATCTGATAAGTTTTCATATTTATAAAATCGTAAGGATTTCCTATTTTATTGTATTGGTATTTATTTTCCAATTCGGAGGTTTTTAGAGAAGACTATTAGAAAAGTTTTATTATACCTTCTAGCTTCTGTTTCTTTCATCCAAGTTTTTATGCTATCATTGTGAAGAACAAAGGGGATCATTGTCAGCACTCTATCAGTAAAGAAGTAGAGTCAGTGGATGTCATTGGCTCTACTGACTTAGCAAACTTACCATATTTAGATAGTGATGACCAAATTTTTCTTTCACCTTATTCTTTTATATCATGTATATGTCTCCCAAGCAGCTTCTTTCTTGCTCTGAATTAGGCTGTTCCCAAAGACCAGATGAGGTTCTTTGTACTTTTATTTCATATGTCCAGCTTAGAAACCTTGTACTTCATTATATTCAGTCTGCTTATAAAATTTAGTACTCTTCCATGATTTTGAATTTAAGATACTGACCTATTAAACATATCTTAGTAAGGGGCTAGAGTGATAGTAAAGCTGGTAGGATGCTTGCCTTGCATGTGCCATTGGCCAACCCAGGTTCATGGTCTCCCAAGCCCTCCTAGGAGTTCGGTCAGTCGCATGCAAGGGAAATGCCCTACCTGCTGTATTATTTCTCCAGCTCCATTAGTATATTTCTTAAAGCCAGAAAAAAGTCCATTAGTCACAAATGAAAAATAAAGTTTCTCTGATTTTAAATCATTTTAAGCCCTTTGTGATTTATAATCTCTTATGCTTTTTAACTCAAGTGTTTTATCTCTCATATAGGTTACTCACTATAAACAGTATCCACCCAACACAAGCAAAGTTTATTCTTACTTTGAATGCCGTGAAAAGAAGACAGAAAATTCCAAAATAAGGAAGGTGAAATATGAGGAAACAGTATTTTATGGATTGCAGTACATTCTTAATAAGTACTTAAAAGGTACTATTTTTCATAGTACGGTTAAAACACTGCTTTTATATTCTGTTAATTGAAGCAATGTATGGAGTAGCTGGTCTTGATATTCAAATATTTTCTAGTCTTACCTGGCATTTGTGAAAATCTAGTAAATTTTTAAAATGTGCTCATATATTAAATCTTATAATTTGATATCAGTGTTTAATGTTCTAAAATAAGTTTGGGGGTAAGTGTAGAAAAGTCCATTTTCTGAAGTTAATGTAGTTTGCTTATGAAATAAAAAGAGTTAATTGATGTGAGGACTCATTTTAAATTATGGTTACAATTAGATTACTTTTATTCCATTTTCACCTTAAAGATATGTTTTGACACTACCTAGTAACTGTGGACTTAACCCTCAGATTTATTTTAAAGTGGAAAAATTTCCAAAATAATTTCTGTGATTCATTATTTCAAAATCTGTTTCTAGTCTATTTTGCAATGAGGTTGATAGGGGAGAAACAGTTCCCAAATATTTTATGCATCTGAGAAATTTTCAACTATGGGTTTTTGCTGTTGTTTGAGCCATACTTAGCGATGTTCAGGGATAACTCCTGGCAGTGCTCGGGGAACCATATGTGAGGCTGGTGATTGAACCCAGGTCAGTTTTGTATAAAGCAAGTGCCTTACCCACTGTACTATTTCTTTGCCCCCCCCCCAACTCAGAAAAAAAAAAACAACTCAAGAGTTAATATAAATTGAGTTGACTGAGAAATGAGATAATAATTTCAGGAACATTGGAAACCTACTTAGATATAACAAGTTCTATTGTGTAGCAAAAACTTACCCAGGCATTTTATTGATTGATTGATTGTAGCTGCACTGCACAGTGACAGTGCAGTATGGTTATAATAGTGTTAATGTTTATGGTTTTGATGTACAAAGCTACTGCACCGTCACTACCACCAGAGTGCTCAAGACTCTCCACCAACTGTCCTTACATTAACACTTCTAGTTTTGCTTCTTTCTCCCCTTTCCCCCATCCCCCCATTTGCTTGCTGATTTCACTTTTGTAGTTCATGGTCAAGGTTTGTCATTATTCAATACTGTTTATCCCCTTATTCTGTTGTTCTATATACCGCAGATGAATGAGATCATTCTATAGTTGTTCTCCTTCCTCTAACTTGATTCTCTTGACCTGATAACCTTCAGTTCAAGATTTCATCTTTTCTTATAGATGAGGAGTATTCAATTGTATATGTATACTGCAGCTTTCTTTATTCATCTATTTGTTGTTGGACATGTGGATTTAAATGAGTTAACTAGTGAGTTTATCTGAAGGTGTCAAAAACTTCAGTTTCACTGTTTAAAATCTTTGTAAAATATCATTTATTTTTATTTGCATTTAAAATGGAGAGGCTGAAGAGATAGCTCCAAGGGTGTGCTTTGTATGAAGGAGACCTAGGTTCAGTCCCTGGCTTTACATGATCCCATAAGCAGTGCCAGTATGGCTCCCAAATACATAGAAAATTAGAATAAAATATAGTGATTGCCTGTTGTCAGACCATATTTCTGTCTTAACTCATTTACCCTTCAAAAACCATAAGTAGATATTCTACTTCTATTGTCTTCATTTCACTGATTCATGAAAGTGTACTTAAAAAACTAAAATTAGTAATTGGAAACATTACTGAATTACCTAGTCCCCAAGTGAGAAGTCATCTGACTTTTTAAGTGACTACTCCTAAATGTGAAGAGTATTTAAATCCACAAAGATGTTCACTAATGCTATATATAAAATAATTTTTTCAACTGCATATTTGCTTTTGTTTTTCAACTTCAGAAAAAAAGTTTGGTTTTTTTTTTTTTTTTGAGTCACACCTGGTGATGCACAGGGGTTTCTCCTGGCTCTGCACTCAGGAATTACCCCTGGCAGTGCTCAGGGGACCAGATGGGATGCTGGGAATCGAACCTAGGTCAGCTGTGTGCAAGGCAAACGCCCTACCTGCTGTGCTATTGCTCCAGCCTCCCCAAAAAAAATTTTTTATGAAGCCACAGAAGATCTGTTAGGGGCTACTCCCGGCTTCCGGGACCATGTGGTTACATATAAGAATTTACATAGCAAGGGAATAACTAATGGCCAAAGGCAGCAGAACTTATCTTCAAAACTGAGTTTACCACTGAGACAGTGGTGGAAGGAAGTGGACATTCTAATGAAGGGTGTGGTGTTAAAACAGCCTATCCTCCCTACCATTAATGGGATTGTAAATCAAATAAAAATGTTTTTAAAGAATTTATCACTTAGGCTTACAATGGTTGGAACTGTAAGTTTTTCCTTTTGACTCTGCTGTGGACTTTGGGTGAATCTCCCAAGGTTAATATTTTTTCCTATTCTGTACAACACTGAAATAATTAGAGTTCTAATCCTATGATGACAATGTATGCCTATGACAGTGTAAATTGGAGCTGTTTATCCTTATAGGTAAAGTAGTGACCAAAGAGAAGATCCAGGAAGCCAAAGAGGTGTACAAAGAACATTTTCAAGATGATGTCTTTAATGAAAAGGGATGGAACTACATTCTTGAGGTAAAAAGTGATTGATATTGATTTACTTTGGTTTGCTTTTAGTTCAGAATTTCAGAAGTGTTTGAATAGAACTGTAATTATAGCACTTTATTGTTTATGAACAAAATATAATGGCTGTTTTAGGCATTCTTATTAAAAATGAAGGATAGTATTTAATTGTTTTGTTTTGTCTTTTGGGCGCACCCAGCAGTGCTCAGAGCGTGTGAGCTTGAGGGACCGCATGGTGTGCTAGCAATCAAACCCAAGTTGGCTGTGTGCAAGACAAAAGCCCTATCCACTGTACTATAACTCTGATCCCTAGTATTTTTTTTTCTGTTGGCAAATCGTTAGCATTTAGTATTTATGGTCGTACATAATCTGTCAAAATATTAGTGAATTAAAATTTAAATAACCATCACTTTTCATAAAAGTGATTTAATAGATGATGTGAATTTAATCACTAATAATTCTGGGAAATTTCCTTTACTATTTAGAGTGGTTTGTTACAGGTAAATAAAACTCATCTTGGGGCTGGAGCGATAGCACAACAGGGAGGGCGTTTGCCTTGCACGCAGCCGATCCGGGTTCGATTCCCAGCATCCCATCTGGTCCCCTGAGCACCGCCAGGAGTAATTCCTGAGTGCAGAGCCAAGAGTAACCCCTGTGCATCGCTGGGTGTGACCCAAAAAGCAAAAAAATAAATAAATAAATAAAACTCATCTTATTATTTGTTGTACTGTAATAATCATGTCAAGCATTTTTAGTTCCATTGCTTAAAGTTTTTGCCATCTAGAGGCATGGCAGTGGAGCTATCAGAAATATTTTCTCTGGTGGTTGGTTTTCTTTTATTATGAAAATAGACTGGGATGGGCCCTGTTGATCTGTTGGCATCTTGTGATGTTAAGTGTTAATTTATGTCTTAAAAAACATGCAGGGGCTGGAGCGATAGCACAGCAGGTAGGGCGTTTGCCTTTCACACAGCCAACATGGCCAACCCAGGTTCGATTCCCAGCATCCCATATGGTCCCCCGAGCACCACCAGGAGTAATTCCTGAGTGCATGAGCCAGGAGTAACCCCTGAGCATTGCTGGGTGTGACCCAAAAAGAAAAAAACAAACAAACGAAAAACATGCAGTACAGGAGGCCAGAGAGATAACACTGGAGTTAAGATGGGTTTTTATTTTTGCATGCAGGCAATCCTGGTTCAATCCCCATATACCACCAGGACTGATTCCTAAGCACCATGAAGAGTAGCCCCTATATGCAAAACAATTTCATTGTGGACTATCAAATATTAAATAATTAGAAGTGCAGTATTGTACTCACGTTGTAATACTGCTTTGCTATTTGAAACTTATGGGCCTTTGAATGCTTATTAATGTAATTTCCATAGATAGGGTAATCTTTGATTTATATGTTCAGAGACTCAGGTATTCATGGGGTATTGATCTGTAGTTTTATCTTATCCATTTTACACACAGACTGAAACCTAAAGGGGAAGAGTAATTTAAATATTAACTTACCATGTACAAATACATTCTCCTTGACTTTGAAAGTAATTGTTGAAGTTGGCTATTGATCGCCAAAGCTCTAAAATGTAATGATTGGTCTTTCCACTACCAAAATGATTGGTTTCACATCTACCAGAATAAGGAGAAAACCTATTAGAAACCTATTAAAGTTTCTTCTACTGACAGAGAAGTGTTCTTTCCTTTTCTATTATGTGTGTTTGCTTTTTTTTTTTTTTTAAGTAGTTCCTTAGTTTGTCAGGGCTTACTCCTTGCTGTGTACTAAGGGATCACTCCTGGTGGGCTCTGGGGACCATATGAGGTACCAGGGATCAAACCTGGGCGGCCAAATGCAAAGCAAGTCCCTGTCTTCTGTACTACACTCCTGCTCCAGATAAGGGTATTCTGACAAAATTACTAGCAATTTTTGTCTATAATTGAAGTTTCTTTGACAGTAAATCTAACTTGTGTAAATTGTAAAGAACCTTATTAAAATAGAAAATTCGTTGAACAATATATTTATTATTGTCTCTTACCAGAAATATGATGGACATCTTCCAATAGAAGTAAAAGCTGTTCCTGAGGGTTCTGTCATTCCCAGAGGAAATGTTCTCTTTACAGTGGAAAACACAGATCCAGAGTGTTACTGGCTCACAAATTGGATTGAGGTGACTTGTTATTTTTTTTTTTTTTTGGTAATTCTTGCACATTAGTTGAAGATGTAAAACCCATTCAACTGGGATTTTTGCGTGTGAATTACTATGGTGTGAGGCCTGAGTTCAATTCCCCAACATGACAGGGAAAAAAGGTTACTATTAATAAAGCTAAGTGATCTCTGTAACTTATTTAACTTTATCAGGCCTCAGTTTCCGCACCTATAAAATGAAAGACTAAATATGTTTCCTTCTAGTAAAATTAATATGCTAGATGTTGCACTGTAGCACTGTCCTCCCATTGTTCATCGCTTTGCTTGAGCGGACACCAATAACGTTAACTATTAACTGTTTTTGGCATATCAAATACGTCACGGGTAGCTTGCCAGGCTTTTGCCATCCGGGTGAGATACTCAGAAGCTTGCCGGCTCTCTGAGAGGGGCGGAGGAATCAAACCTGGGTCAGCCGCATGCAAGGCAGATGCCCTACCCACTGTGCTTTCATTCCAGCCCATGCTAGATGTTAGCCAAATAAAATTATTGATAATTATTGTTAAAAGTTTGGTTGACTTCCCCCTTTCTATATGTATATAAATTTAGAAAAAAAAATTGAATAAATAGCACAGGTACATTTCTAGTAGCAACAGACATTTTATGGAAAGTATGTTCTAGTGAGACTAAAGGAATTTTTTAAATTTTAGTAACTACTTCATAATCTTATCAGTTTGGAGCTTGACCTTATTACCATAGATATATATATTTCTTATCTCTGTACAGTCAAGATTCACTTATTTTTTTTTTACATATAATAATCATAAAGCTCCCTAAATTGCTAAAGCTTTCCTGCAGGTGGGGTGACAAAGGATGGAAAGTATCACATTTCCTAGAAACTTAAGCAATCAAAATTGTGTGGTACTGAAATAAAGGCATACTGTCAGAACAATCAAATAGAGTTAGGAGTCCAGAGAGAAATCCTCAGATAAATGGACAGTTAAATTGTGACAAAGGAGCTGGGAGCATGAAGTAGAGCAAGGAAAGTCTCATCAACAAATGATGTTGGGGAAACTGGATAGCCACATGCAAAAAAATGAAATGATCTTTATCACACCATACATAATAGTTAATCAAAATATATTAGGCTAGAATTGATAAAATTGAGGAATTACAGGCAGAACTCTCCAGGATATGAACCTTCAATGACTTGATTCCATTGTCAAAGAAAAGTAGAAATACATTGGTATACATCAAACTAATAAGCTTTGTATGGCAAAGAACACTCAGGCTGAAATTAAAAGACACCATACTGAACAGGCAAAAATATTTACACACCATTCATCAGGTAAAGGGCTAATATCCAGGATATATAAAAGAGTCACAAAGTCCAATAGCACAAAAACCAATAACCCCAGCAAAGAAGGAGGAAAGGAAGTGAATAGATGCTTCCTGAAAGAAGATATACGGACAGAGAGTAGGCATATGAAAAAGTGTTCATGGTCATTTACTATCAGGGAAATATGCAAATCAAAACAATAGAAATATCACCTCTGAGTATGGCATATATCAAAAAAAAAAAAACTGGAAATCACCAGTGCTGGAGAGTATACAATAATAAAAAAAAAAGGCACCCTCATTCACAGTTGGTGAGAATGTCTTCTAACATAATATGCTTTAGTCTTTTTACACTTGAGGGAGAATTGGCATGCCAATTCATGAATCAGCAGTTATAAGCAAGGCAGTTTATCAGTGGTTTTCAACCTTTTTATACCACCAGACCAGTGGTTGAAGGACACTGATCTGCCTCATCCTTTATGGGAAACAGTATAGAGTCTTCTCAAAAAATTTAGAATCTTCAGAATTCCACATGACCCAACAATTTTATTTCTTGGCAGTTACCCCCAAAACATAACAAACGTTAATTTGAAAAGATATGTACATGGGGCTGGAGCAATATAGCACAGCGGGTAGGGCGTTTGCCTTGCACACGGCTGACCCGAGTTCGATTCCCAGCATCGCATATGGTCCCCCGAGCACCGCCAGGAGTAATTCCTGAGTGCATGAGCCAGGAGTAACCCTTTGTATCACTGGGTGTGACCCAAAAAGCAAAAAAAAAAAAAGAAAAAAGAAAAGATATGTACATACCTGTATTCATTGCAGCCCTTAAGTAGAATAGCCAGAATATAGAAACAATCCAGACTGTCCCTAACACTCCATGTGGTCCCCTGAGCACTGCCAGATGTGACCCAACAACAAACAAAAAAATAATAATAATTAGTGAGAATGCTGAATTGGTAGCAGAAAAACAATTATAAGGAATAATTAAATAGAAAATAAGGTTATTGAATAGAAGTTCTCTTTTATCTAACTATTTCTGTAGTAACAAATTGCCCTATGTGAACACATGTATGTAATTTACTGCCTGTTCCCCCTCTCCCCACGCACACACACCTAAATGTAGGGCTCATTAAGGGTGTGTTTTATTTTTTTGCAAGTATTGGGTATCATACTCAAGCCTAACCTGACACATGCAGAGTTATGTGCTTTACCACTGAACTACATCCCCAACTCCCATTATGGTGGGTGTTTTTTTTTTAAGTTTTTATTAGTGAAACACCATGAGGTACAGTTGTAGACTTACAAATTTTTGTGCTTGGGTTTCAGTTATACAATGATCAAGTACCCATCCCTCCACCAGTGCCCATTCTCCACCACCAAGTATCCCTCCCACCACCACCCCCATCCCCCCATCCCACCCCACCTCTGTGGCAGGGCATTCCCTTTTGTTCTCACTCTCCTTTGGGTGTTGTGGTTTGCAATAGAGGTATTGAGTGGCAGTCATGTTTGGTCTATAGTCTACTTTCAGCATGCATCTCCCATCCTGGGCAGATCCTTCCAACACCCTTTACTTGGTGTTCCCTTCTCCATCTGAGCTGCCTTTTCCCCTAGCATGTGTGGCTGGCCTCCAAGCCATGGAGCGAACCTCCTGGTACTTATCTCAACTATTCTTGGGTGTTAGTCTCCTATTCTGTTGCTTTATATTCCACAGATGAATGCAATCTTTCTATGTCTGTCCCTCTCTTTCTGACTCATTCCACTTATCATGATACTTTCCATGTAGAACCACTTGTATGTAAATTTCATGACTTCATCTTTTCTAACAGCTGCATAGTATTCCATTGTATAGATGTACCAAAGTTTCTTTAACCAGTCATCTGTTCTTGGGCACTCGGATTTTTTCCAGGTTCTGGCTATTGTAAACAGTGCTGCAATGAACAAACAAGTGCAGATGTCACTTCGACTATACTTTTTTGCATCTCTGGGATATATTTCCAGGAGTGGTATTGCTGGGTCAATTGAGCTCCCATTATGGTTTTTAAGAATAGTTCATTCTAAACAAAATTCTTGCATTTGAATAACTGGTGGCAAAATTGAGAACTCAGAGAGGCCAAGAATATAGAGGTAGGAATCAAAAGAGTAGTTTCAAAGAAGTGGACACTAGCGTTAGGATTGGTGTTAAAATGTTATATGCTTAAAACTTAACTATCAGTAACTTTGTAAATCCCAGTTTCAGAAGTAGAATAGAGGTGTTTGGTTATGTAATTCAGGAGTTTGCAAGATTTTCTATGATTCTATAACAAATTACATGTATGGAACACATGTATGGAATTTACTGCCTGCTCCCCCTCCCCCCACGCACACACACCCTAAATGTAGGGCTCATTAAGGGTGTGTTTTATTTTTTTGCAAGTATTGGGTATCATACCCAAGCCTAACCTGACACATGCAGAGTTATGTGCTTTTTACTAAAAAATAGCTATTACTTCTCATGATTTTTAGATTGTTTCCTTGGACTTAACATTTCTAGATTCATCTCTGAAGGTCTATTAGGACAGGACAGGTGAAAATGACCACATTCCCATTAGTGGAATTACAGAGCCTCTATAACTTAGAGTTTCATTTCTTGAGAGAAGCTTAATGATTTCATCTATAGCGATAATCAGTAGAAGTTTCACACTATAGGTTTTTTTCTTCTTCTTTAAATAATGTAGTTGGAAAATCTAAGGTTAAATAATAACATTTGGGTTCTAACTTTTTTTTGGGGGGGGGATATTTACAATATTATTGGGCTGGAGCGATAGCATAGTGGGTAGGGCGTTTGCCTTGTATGCGACCAACCCAGGTTCGATTCCTCCACCCCGCTCGAAGAGCCTAGCAAGCTACCAAGAGTATCCTGCCCGCACGGCAAAGCCTGGCAAGCTCCCTCTGGCTTATTCCATATGCCAAAAACAGTAACAAGTCTCACAGTGGAGACATTACTGGTGCTCGCTCGAGCAAATTGATGAACAATGGGAGGACAGTGCTACAGTACCATATTATTAATAATGGTTTCTCCTGGACATAATTCCAACACCAAATCCTTCACCATTGTACCCATCTCTCTCCCAAAGAACCCCAGCCCCCTCTTTCTGTACCACCCTCACGTGATGTCCATCAGTTCCCTCATTATGTTGCCTTTGGAGCTTTGTTGCTACCTTGCTGTATGTCTGTAAAGTACCACATATGAGCTAGATCATTTTCTGTCTGTCTCTTTCATTCTGACCACTCAAAGCACTCACTAAACTTACCAAAAAATATATAACCCTTCTATAAATGGAGTGAAGAGATGAACACACATTTCCCCAAAGAATTTTCTGTCTGTCTCTTTCATTCTGACCACTCAAAGCCCTCACTAAATTTACCAAAAAAATATAACCCTTCTATAAATGGAGTGAGGAGATGAACACACATTTCCCCAAAGAAGACATATAGATGGCCAATGGGAATAGGGAAAAGTGCTTATTGCCATTCATAATTAGAGAAATACAAATCAAAACAATAATGAGATTCCATCTCACCCCTGTGAGAATAACACATCAAAAAATCTGGAAATAGCCAGTGTTTACGGGATTGTGGTGCAAAGGGAACTCTCATCCACTGTTGGGAGAAATGTTGTCTAGTAACCTCTATGGAAAGCAATATAGAGATTTCTCAAAAAAATGGGAGTAGAATTCCCGTAACAGTTTTTAGTTACCTTATTGATTGCTAAGCTAGTGTTGAACAGAAGCTTATTTTGTTCATTTTTATTAGAAAATTAAATACCTTTTGAAAGGGCTCAGATATTGTCATCATCTTAGCAGTTGTTTCTAAAACAAATTTTAAGCTTCCTCTGATAACCATCAATTTGATTTAAAAAATTGTAAGAAATGTTTGCCAGGCTGTGATTAAGTGTCAGGTGTCTTTTGAACTTTTCCTGGCAGCCAAAATGAAAAAGGGGAAACCACGGGACAGTTCTTTTCAAAACTAAGAAACATACCTAGCATTCTCCTGTTTCTTCATTTAAGAATGTATATATAATAAGTATTGAATTGTAAACATAAACAGTGACCTCTCACAAATTTAAAAGTAGGGCATACCAGATAAAAGCCTCATAATATAAGTCTTTGGTGCCAACCTGACAATTTTTATATTTAGAAATGCTCTTTGAGAATTGCTTTTAGTAATGCTTGACAATAGCCAAGGTCATCAAGCATAACTAGTGGATAGGATACTATCTCCAGTATTAAGCAAAATTGTTCCAAGTATATAATCTAAGTCTATTAGATCCAGGGAAAAATTAGGGCCAAGACTTCATAAAAGAATAAATGTATAGCTTTTTAAAAACTAATGCTTTTTTTAAAATTTGTAGTCTTTAAACCTAGTATTAGTTTATGACCTTCTTGATACAGGTTGACATTCCATATGCAAATAAGGATAGACATTTATAAACTTTAATAGAAATCTCTTCAGCAACTTTTATAGCAGTTCTAAGCACATAAAAATTATTAGTCATGTTGTTTTTTTAAACTTTAAGTCCATGATAGATTGAAAATGTTTTTCACAATTCTTCATCACACCTAGTTTTAAAACTATTACTGCTTCTTTGGAACTTTAGATAGAAACTATTAATTTGGTGTTCTCAATTATTTAAGGACCTGGTATGTTTATCCTTTGTGGTATTCATTTGCAGAATGAGCTATGTGCTGTATTTTTGAAACACATATTTGCCTTCCTGCATTACAGTTGAAAGGTCTGATTGATATTTCTGATAGTACGGGAGGAAAGTCCAGCACATGTCAGATAAAGCTAGGGTTTTTCTTAGAATTCAGTATTTTATATAATATTTTTGTTATTAACTTTGTTACTACAGACTATTCTTGTTCAATCCTGGTACCCAATCACAGTGGCCACAAATTCTAGAGAGCAGAAGAAAATATTGGCCAAATACTTGTTAGAGACATCTGGTAACTTAGATGGCCTAGAATACAAGTTACATGATTTTGGCTATAGAGGAGTCTCTTCCCAGGAGGTAAGAAACTGAAGTGAACCATTGTATGAAATGTAATTGTTGATTAGATTTTTGGGACATTAATGAAATTGATAATGGTTTAAGAAGGCCATATTGTTTAATTCCTGAAATTAAATCAGCAGATTTGTATTAAGTACCTACAATAGGTGGATCTTGGTTCAAAGTATACATAATATTGGCTTTAACAAATGTCCTTGTTCTTTACGTATTAGCTGTCTGGATGGGTGATGGCTGCGTGGACTGATAGACACAATAAATCTAACAGATCTCAGATAAACAGAGAAGCACAGGTTAAAAGTAAGGGTGGGAAGATGGCAATGCTAAAATATGGGTGGGTCACTGTTAGATTCTCTTTGAGAATCACATAGTTAAAGTTTGACTAGTTAGGAAATATTGGATCTTTGTCATAAGAAACTGCCACCTTTAACAGTAGTTCAGTATATCTTTAAAGATAAGACCAGTAGATGTTTTGGGAGCTATGCTTACATCTCAAGTATGAGTCTTTTTCTCTTTTTTTTTTGGATTTTAGTTTGTGGTTTATTTTCCAGACTGCTGGTATAGGAGCATCTGCTCATTTGGTTAACTTCAAAGGAACAGATACAGTAGCTGGAATTGCTTTAATTAAAAAATACTATGGAACAAAAGATCCTGTTCCAGGTTATTCTGTGCCAGCGGCAGAACACAGGTAAAATTCTGTTTTAATTCTCCTATTATCTAAACATTTTTGTTCTCTAAAGCTGTATTTTTATTTTCTCATAATTCAGAGGTGTTTTGCTTATATAACGAGCCAGGTACCAAAATAAATCCTCATAAATTTAAGTATAAATTCAGAATTTATTTTTGTATTAATATTTTAATGAGGTAAGGTAGAAAACTCTTAGCCATTCTAAAAATCAACTTGAGAACATTTTTCCAGCTCATACTGACATAAAGCCATCATATTTTTATATGCAGAGTAGTTTTTTGGTCATTAAAGTTAGAAGTATGTAAAACCTGATCATATTTACTTTTCCCCTATACTTCTTTATCACCTTATGTCATTGCCCTAGAAGTTGTCATCTGGATCCAGAACCTCAATGATAAATGATCAAGTAAACCCTTTATATGAAGGAGTGATGTTCACATTTTTATGCTTCCTTATGATTTTACTAAACCATCTAAAGTTAAAAGTACAAGGAAATTGTAATCTAATGTAACCAGCTTCACTAGTCCTAGAGTTAACTTTATTAAAAGATGGTAAAGTTTTTAAAATCATACCAACCTTTTTCTGGTTCTTAATACAAAGGTTATTCCCATTACCAGTTTGGGTATATTTATTAAAATGTATTCTGAATATTGTGACATTCTAAAACCAGATGTGAGGTTAAAATTAAGCTGAGCTTTTTATGGAAGGATAATCTACTAAGTAATATTAGGAATGTAAAGATAGTTTCAAAAACGACAACAACTACAACACCTGGTCCTGTCTTCGGGGTTAAGTATAGGATTAAATAGTAGCACTAGCAGTATTCTGCTCTGTTGGTTAAGAATGTTGTATAATAAAATGTTATAGTGGGGCAATGGAAGGACAGGAAGGATCATGTTCTAGTAGAATTAATAAACATTCGAGAGAATAGTTTATGAAATTATGACTCTTGAAGACAGTAAAAATTATTAGTAATATTTTGGAAACATTTGTTCTATGGGTAATATTTATTTTGTGCCTACTGTATATCAAGCATATTACGCTCAAAGAGCCAGAACAAAAGAGGAGATTATGAATGTGTTTTTAGGTAATAAGAGCTGAAACTTCATGTCGTTTCACTAATAAAAAAAAAAAAATCATGTTTCACTAATAAAAAAAAAAAATCATGTCGTTTCACTAATAAAAAAAAAAATAAGAGCTGAAACAGATTTTGTAAAGAACATAGGGTAAACTAGGAAGGCAGATTAGTAAAGCCCCTCAGGTTTGTTTTAACATTGACTGTTAAATACGGGTGTAGAACATGCTATTTTTTTTGTCATTCTATTTTCAAATGGAGGTGAGCATTGAAGCTTGAACAAAGAAGCAATATCAGAGAAGTGTTTCTAAAGATTATCTTTATACAGAAAATCTATGAAGCTTTGCTGTCCTCCATTTTGATATAGGATAACTTAAAAATTTTTTTAAAAATTGAGAAATTAGGCTTTGTAGGAAACTATTGTTATCAGGTCAAGAAATGACAGGTCCAGGTCCAAGTGACTAAATGAATGGGAAGAAGTAAGAATGATCAGTGGCTTGGCAGATGAAAGTGCTAAATTTGAAGTTTAAATTTGGTGAAGGTTAGTAGATAATGGGCTCAGTTGAAATTATAAGCATTGCATTAGGCTTACCCTTCTAGAATGCCTTCGTAGATGAGTTTCAGGATCAATGAATCTTGCAAAATAGCCATGTCACCAATATCTTCATTGAGATTAGACAACATTTTGAATTTAAGATGTTAAAATTAGTTTTAAAGCTTAATTTATTGTTTATAAATTAAAGTCTTCACTTATGGCTTCTTTTTCAAAGTAATAATGTCAGTGTGATAATTATAAACCTGAAAACAAGGTAAAATCTTAAGGCTTTTGTGTTAAAAACAGAATGAAAATCCATTTTATTTTTATTACCTCATAGTACTATACTTGACTTCCTTACATATAAAGTATTTCAGATGTTCTTTGAACTAAAATGTGGGGGACAGAGTATTGACATTCTGGTTTGTCTTGAGCAAGTCACTTATCTCTGTTATTTAGTTACTTCAACCGTACAAAAGAAGAAGCAAAATTTTTTAAATTTCACTGTCAGGGCTGGAGCAGTAATACAGTGGCAGAGCACTTGCCTTGCACGCAGCCAACCCAAGTTTGATCCCCAGCACCCCCTAGGATCCCCTGAACCCACCAGGGGTGATCCCTGAGTATAGAGCCAGGAGTAAGTTCTGAGCACCACCTCGTGTGGCCCCAAAACCAAAAAGAATAAATTAAAAATTTCAATATCAAGGTCATTGAGGATAAATGAACCACAACCTAAAAATAGCCTTGAAATATTTTAGAGCATTGCCATTTCTGTTAAAATACCTTCTTAAAGAATATTTGAATTTGTTATGAGAAATATTAGGTAAATTTTCCCACAAATTATGATGAGGTATCAAATTTAACCTGATCCTAGAAATTGAGATTTCTGTGTACATAATTGGGTTTTCTCGATTTCTAGCATTAGTATAAATGAGCCTGAGTAGAATTTATTGAATAAATGTTTATGACTTTCACATACTTAAAACTAAAACTAGAATAGGTGTTATGATGGGTTTATTTAGATAATGCAGTAGAAAATGTCTCTGTGGGTAGATGAGGTGAAGCTGTCTATATGGAAGAAAATCCTGGCTAAGATACTGATTTTAGAAATCTTGATCACAGGGGTTTTATTGAAAAGTTTTGAGTGTTTTTCACACAGGTAGGTGTATAGAGGGAGACAAGTGCCCAGGTTCAGAGCCCTTGGTTAGATTGAAGGAGAATACAGCATCTGGGGAAGACTGAAGAGGAACCATGGAAATAGAAAAGATTGAAAATGTGTGAGATGTCATTGAAGTCATTGGAAAGAAAACTTCAGGAAAGTTCAAATGCCATAGAGAAATCAAGTAAGATAAAGACTAAAAATGCACAGTTAAGTTTGCTAGTATACACAATTGTATTAGTACAACACTAGAAAAAGAAAAAAAATGCATAAAAAATGCATAAGACCTCAAGTTGTAGTCGGTATTCTTGTATTGCAAACCTCCTAGTGTTGATGGTCTTTGAGCAAAATTTGCTCTTTAAAGAGCAAATTCTGATTCTTAATAGAAGTTGAACCACCCTCTCTTCATGTGTTAATTTTCTCTTCACCTGTAGATTCTTTTATGAAGTAAGAGAGTGGGTGTCATTGTTACTAGGAGCCCCTGTTGTTGGGAGGACTGTTTATTATTAAAAACCTCATACAAATAGGCAATATCTCAGTCTCAGACAAAAGTCGTTTTTGGTTAGCTAGTGCTTACAACCCTAAACTGTAAATACTCTGCTCTTTCAAGCATACCACTTAACAGCATGAGAAAAGTTACCTACACCTTTTTTTTTTTTTTTAGGAAAAATAGAATGGGTCGTTACCATTATTTTCCATTTAATTGACTTAGGAAAATGGGGTAGAGGCAAAAGCTAGAAAATTAGGGAGAAGCAAAAATGGCTTAGCATGAGAAAATCGCCACAGGTTTCAGTTCATTATTAAATCCCATTTATTCATTTGAAAAATTATTTATATACCATGTTAATTAGCCACCAAGTACTTAAGGTACATATTAAGTGTTAATCTATTCAATAAGAAGAGCCATTATTCAGGGCACTGTAAAAAATCACTATAATCATTCTTACTAATAGAAACTTTCACAATTTCCCATTTTATGTTTTGCTCAAACAAAATATTAAAATTCTTATTCCCTGGGCATATTAATAGTAGATAATCTGTAAATGAAATAATGACTACCTGTCACCAGCTACTTGAAGATAAGTAGTTGATTCAGTAAGATACAGTATAAATAATTGCCTAAGTAATTGCTCTTAAGTGTAAGATTTTGAGGGGTAAAAAGATCAGGTGTACGTTCCTGCTATTTATTGGTATGTGGTTTTGAAAGTCCACAGAATGGAGTCTAATGAATGTATTATTTGTCAAAATAATGGGATTATAATGTTCCTTTTTAACATCTTGGCATAACATACAGCAAGTGCTTTTTTTAGTTGAGAAGATTCAGGAGTAGAAAAGTAAAACCTAGTATATAATTGCTTGAATATCAGTTAAAAGCTAAAATAGCTATTGAAGAGGAATAAGTCTTAGACAGTCTTAAAAGATTTGACTAAGGAATGGCTTGGCTCAAACAATTACCTATGTTTTATTCATTCATTAAATCATTTGCCTTCTCTGCAGTTTTGATGGTGTGGTTAGTAATAAACATGAAATACAAATAATAGGTGATTCAATAAGAGATAATGTATGCCTAAATCTGTATTTTCATTTTTTTTTCTAGTACTATAACAGCTTGGGGGAAAGATCATGAAAAAGATGCTTTTGAACATATAGTAACACAGTTTTCATCAGTGCCTGTATCTGTGGTCAGCGATAGCTATGACATTTATAATGCATGTGAGAAAATATGGGGTGAAGATCTAAGACATTTAATAGTTTCAAGAAGTACAGAGGCACCACTTATAATCAGACCTGATTCTGGAAATCCTCTTGACACTGTGTTAAAGGTAAATTTTAATATATAATTTGATTATTAAAGTACCTAAGCTATATCAGCACTGCTTTAAACTACGTACTATTCAAAGATGTTGTTCAGAGTTGTAGTTATGAGAGATTAATAGATTTTTTTTCAAGATCACAATAAGAAAAGGGATGCTCAGAGTTACGGATTACTTATATGTTACCACATACAGTTAAGTGACTATTGGACAGATACTTTCTTCCCTATTAATGGCTTTGTCTCAGAATACTATGAATTGCTTACCAGATTTGGTTTTCCTTTATTGCAAGTTAGCACTGTGCCTTTGAAGTTTATAAAGCACAAAAATACATGCAAGTGGTAACGTGAAATAAAAGTAATTTAGAAAAAACTTTTCAAGTACTAATTATTAGAGATTTCATTGATTCGCTCCCCCCTCCCATACAGTAAGGCTGCATTATTTTAGTGTTTAAGATTTGGTTGGTTTGGGGGGTTTTGTGTGTGTGTGTGTGTGTGTGTGTGTGTGTGTGTGTGTGTGTGTGTGTGTGTTTGTTTTAAAGCTCTGTAAGAAATATTTTACTTTAAAAAAAAAAGAAAGAAAAATATTTTATTCTTCTTTAGCTGTTACATTTAATCTCTGCGAAAATCCTGTGATTACTCTTTTTTATAATAATATTAAAGTAACTTACTCAGGATTACACAACATGTAAGTTAACTAGATACTTTGTTCACTGTAATCTTTTTATTATCTTTCCATATTTTATCAGCAAATGATTTGTTGATTAATTACATAGTCCTTAGTAAAGGGAGATAAAGAATCAAGATTTTTGCTGTACTGTTAATAAAACAATAAGGATGCCTGTCTTAACTGGAATAGTAACAGGCTTCATTTTTAGCAAAGTTAATGGGTTTTTGTTGTGTTCTTACTACCTAATAAAAAGGTACAGGCTTAGTTATAAGAATAAACAAAGTCTTGAGTATGAAATTTTCTTGCTGCCAGAATCTTTAATTGGTTTACTTAGGAAAAAAAGAATAATTTTGTGAGAAAATGTATCTTGTAAGTTTTTAATAACACTGACCAAGTAAAATCTTGTGCTTACAGTATTTCACCAGGTAAAGTTTTTTAATAGTTAATAAATTAGTGGTATATGTAGTTAGTGATTGAAAAATGGGTGTCATCTTTAAGGTAAGTAGGTGAACCTAAGAGAAATTTTAAGTCATATCTTTTCTCTACATATCTTAATTTTTCTGAATTTATATCTAAGTTATATCACATTCACCAAACCAAACTGTCAAAACACAAGCACAACTAATCAAGTCAAAAGTATAATCATGAGTTTGTTAAATGATACCTTACATACTTAAACATATATACTCATATATACTCAGTATTAAAATTTCTCTCTAATCTGTATAATTTGAATGATCTAAGGGGAAAAGTTTTTGTCTCAAGCCATTTTATAGTATAAATTGGCTTAATAGGAAATAGCATTTCTAACTTAGTCCAAAAAAAAACTTGGAGTAAGTTTTTAAAGTCATAGTGTTACAAAAATCAGATGACTTGATTAAATTTTATGTTCTTGGGAGTGCTCAGTTTTTTTAACTTTGGAACGCTTTTACAGTTTCAGTTATTTTCTGTTGGCTGTATTTTTCCATACAGGTTTTGGACATTTTAGGCAAGAAGTTCCCTGTTACTGAGAACTCAAAGGGCTACAAGTTGCTGCCACCTTATCTTAGAGTTATTCAAGGGGATGGAGTAGACATTAATACTTTACAAGAGGTATGTATTTGATACTGAAAATTTCAATAAGGCAGTCCTTCTCCTGGGATGTGGTTCATTGGTACAGTTCACTCCTTGCACACATGCATGCCTGGGTTCCATCTTTGGACACCACAATCAAAAAAGGCACACAAATAGGGCATACTGTCATTTTTATTATTTTATCATGCACTTTTTATATGTATTTATGATGGCTTATGTCTTTTTCTTTTGCCTAATATGTCTAAGTGACCATAACTTAAAGCCAACCTAGCCACATTTCATATGCCCAAGTCTTTTTGGTTTTGATTATTAATAAAAACAACGAAGATAGGGAAGGGCCTTGAATAAAGAAAGCCCAGTTGGCATGTTCACTGTCCGTCTCCTTATCTCAAATAAATTAAAAGTTATTCGTTTAGAACTATTAATCATACCTACATTTGTTTTTAATTTTTATAATTTATTATAGTTTGGGTAACATGGTTAATGTGGTGTTAGATTCCCTGGTGTTCATGTTCATGGATAGTTTGTGGTAGAAGTCACAAATTGTTGACCCTTCATCACCACCAAAGATCCTGTACTGCTGCCCTTTGGTCACTTCTAGCTCTCCTCTTCTACTCACACTATACCTCCCCTGACTGCTCTGAATCTCAGTTTCGTAATAAGAGACAAAGGGCTTGTCATTATTTGATATTGTCTCATCCCTTGGGCGTTTGCCTTGCGCGCAGCCAGCCCAGCCGAGCCGGGTTCGATTCCTCTGCCCCTCTCAGAAGAGCCCGGCAAGCTACTGAGAGTATCTCGCCCGCACGGCACAGCCTGGCAAGCTACCCATGACATATTCAGTATGCCAAACACAGTAACAACAAGTCTCAAAATGGAGACGTTACTGGACCCGCTTGAGCAGATTGATGAATAACGGGAGGACTGTTTGTTTTTGTTTGTCTCGTCCCTTGTGCTGTTTTTCTGGTATTTGTTCTCCCTCTGACATACATTGCTTAATAAGGTGCCCTTCAGGTCCAACCAAGTTGCAGCCAACTAGAGTTTATCTTGTAGCTGTGTGTCTGTTCTAAACACCAGATTCTTTATCCATTCATCTGTTATTTACCTTTACCTAAATTTTATGCAGCTTAGCAGGTGCACAGACACTCTTCCTCTCTCTCAAATGAGAAAACATGGGCAGGTTATTTGTACCAATTTCAAAAAACTCAGTATGAGTTGAATTGTTCGATTAGGTATTTAAACTTGGCTTTTCAAACCAAAGCTTTGTTTTTCTAAATAAACTTTAAGAATATTATGTGCATTTTTCAGATTGGGAATGTTAATTCTATGCTTATTATCATTTTTACTTATTGTCATATATGCACTTTACTACAACATCTAATAAGCATGTTTTGAAATATATTTATAATTGTTGGTCATTTGTAGAGCCTAGTGATTTGGGGTGCAAATGTCTAGACCTCAGTGCTAGTGCTTCTGGCATCTGAGCAATAATAAGTCTACTCAAATAACCTGTAGTTTTTTTTAACTCCTTCTCACTTTCTCCTAACCCTAACCAAAACAATTCCTACTGCCACAAATCCAGAACTTTGCATGAAATCTTCTTTTGACATTTACCCCTCAGACTGCCTTTTTTTATGCTGGGTAGATGGTGGTTTTCTTTTTTTTAAATGTGGAATACAAAAATGTAGGCCTTATTCTTATCTTATTATTTACAATTCTAGTATAATTTATTCATCAGTATTGCCCATGGAAGATTAACTGCCTTCCTCTTTCAAACTACTGAGCACTTTTTTAATGTTGTTGTTGTTGTCGTCGTTATTTTTAATCTTCTAGATTGTAGAAGGCATGAAGCAGAAAAAATGGAGTATTGAAAATGTTTCCTTCGGTTCTGGTGGAGCTTTGCTACAGAAGTTAACAAGAGATCTCTTGAATTGTTCCTTCAAGTGTAGTTATGTTGTAACTAATGGCCTTGGGGTATGTCTTTCAATCTTTACTCCTTTGTTAGTACCTTCTCTCTGTCTAAGTAGAATGCAGTTATTTAATGCAGCAATCAAAGGATTATATGTTACTGAACTTGCACTATGTTGTCAGTTCACTTTGAGGATAAAAAGACTTGAAGGAAGGAGGGAAATTTTTATTAAGCATGAGAGGGAAACACTGTCAGAAGTGTTTTAGGAACGTGGATTGAGTTTGGAGTCTTATCAGAATCATATTCGAGGGAGATTGAGAGAGAGTACCATGAATAAGGCGCTTGCCTTGCACACTGCTGCATCCACCCCTGACACCCCATAGAGCCCCCTATCACTCCCAACCCCTATCACTGCCAAGTTTGATCCCTGAGTACAAAGCCAGGAATAAGTCCTGAACACTGCTGGATGTGGTCCAAAAACCCAAACAGAAACTAAAAACATTTTCTAATGACCAAAAATTGGAATATATGCAAGTTCCTAGATAACAGAATAGAGATCCCCTCTCATTCTTCATAGGCCTTTAGGATTCTGCTGGAGGTGAGGAGAATACTAGAACTAAAATCACCTGAGTTGGTTTAAAATCCGTCTTTCTTCTTGCAGGGGTCATGAGGTTGGTTTTGTTTTGCATTGTTTTGTTTTTGAACTGGCAGGTGGAGTATTGGAGAGACGGATTTGTAAGGATAGCCTTTACCTTAATAATAACCAGTTTCCTTGCCAAGGCTTATATAGTAGTTAAGGTATTAATTAACTAAGGGATTCTTGTTGTTGGCCTTTTTTTTTTTTGCGATGGGTTTGGCACCTACAGCAAGCCTTGGCTAACAGGGCAGGTGTTCAATGTGTAGGCCAGTGCTGTGCTCCTCTACTCAGATTCCGTGGTGCTGGGGGGCCTCAAAAACTGTACCCAGCGATATTCAAGGGACCATGTGTTGCCTGGGATCAAACTCAGGTTTGGCCACATGCAAGGCATGAGCCTTCAAACCCCTTATACTATCTCCATGACAAGGGCTTTTTAATTATATCATGTATATGCCATATTTAACATCATTTTAAAGGCAATTTGTAATATAAAAGGAGATAAACACAAGGCTTATACCTGTTAGCCTCAAGCCTTACAAATGTAATTTTATGCATTCTGTCATTATAAGAAAAGCTATTCAATGTTTTGATTTTTTTATAAGTGCTCTGTAACAAACTAGAGGTAGGTTTCAAAAAGCCAGATGACGATTGGGTTAGTTACACCTATAAATTGCCTTAAAATTTAAACTTAAATTTAAGTTTAAAATTTAAACTTATTCTTTTTAAAAGGAGTAACTGAATATTTCTGATGATTAATCATTAATCTTGTGTTTCTCTTTCTTCATTTGGATTCCAGATTAATGTCTTCAAGGACCCAGTTGCTGATCCCAACAAAAGATCAAAAAAGGGGCGGTTATCTTTACATAGGACACCAGCAGGAAATTTTGTTACACTTGAGGAAGGAAAAGGAGACTTTGAAGAATATGGTCATGTACGTATTTTTATTTTCATGATTTTGGGGGGGGAAGAACAAAGTAATTTTATTAATTATTGGCCTACCAAGTTGAATTCAGGTAATTTTCAGTTGTAACAGAATAGTAAAAATGCAGTAGGTAATATATTTCATAACATTTGAAAAGAAATACAAATTTTTTGATACTAACAACTTAATGGGTAATAATTGAAGTTCAACAGATGTATGTTAGATCACACTCTTAACCAGTTAGCAGTGAATCATTTCTGAAGAGGCGTAGTAAGAATACTTAAAGAATACCATTAATACAGTTTTGGTGACTTAAAAGGGTTATTCAGATTGTTAAATATTATTAAAGGTAATTATCTTGTTTAAAACATAATAGAATCCAGTTCAGATTGTTTCCTATAACCTTATTTGAGTCTCACAAATTCTATGTGCTAAGGAAAGCAAAGTATGGTATCCTAGTTGTGTATGTGGTGAAAATGATGTAACTTGATTCAGACGACGTAAGTGATAGTGAAGTCTAGACTAACCACATCTAATTCAAATTAAAAATACGTAGTATACTAGTCTGTATGAACTCGTCTTTTATAACAAAAAAGTGCACTTGTATTTGTGAACTGAATAGAATTTCTGGGTTGTAAGGCCCCTAGACTGAAAATGCCTCTCATTTTTAGAGAGAAAAGTTAAAACTAAGTTTGATACTACCATATTAATTTACTGCTTTTAATATACCTTTGTTATGTTCTTTTAATTATTTTAAACCAAAATTAATGAAAAAATTCTTAATGATAATTATTAGTGAAAATTATGTAAATTCTTAAACTTTTAGATCCCTTTACATAGCCAATGTACAGTTCTTTAAGTAATCTTCACTTAACTCTCTTACTTACCAAGACTTTATTAGACTTCTCTAAAATGTCTTTAGTTCATCCAGGATAAACTACAGGTTAAAAAAAAAAAAAACTTTAAAAGGGTATATGTCTGGTGCCCTTAGAACACTTGAGGAGTAGTTGGTTTATAAGAATAGCCATTCTTTGATTATATTTAACTTTTTGAAAGAAGACACTAAAGCTATGGCAGTGTAATTTGAAACATCATGACAACAAAAGTTTTAGAAAATGTTACATACGCCTCAGTGTTCAAACTGGATAGAAAACTTGGGCACAATATCTTTTAGATATTTTCAAGAAGGAAACTAGGGCTGGAATCCCTGTTTGGGTGCTTGCCTTGCATGCAACTGACCTGAGTTTGATTCCCAGAACCCCATAAGGGCCCCTGAGTGCAGACAAAGAAAAAGAAATTAGAGGCCAATAATTCTTCAGTAAGATAGAATGCCATCTATCTTACTAAAGAATTATTAACATTTCAGAAGTCACCATTATAAATCAAGTTTTTAACTCCATCACAAGTTAACAAACTAATACTTTATTTCTGTTTTGAAAATTTTTGTTTATAGCTAGAATTCAGTGACTTCGTAAATTGGTATAATTTCAGATGAGTAAAGTTTAATTTGTGATGAGTCTTGTCTAGGAAAGATCTGGAAGGCATATCTTACTGCACAGTCAATCACAATTATCTGTGACTGCCATAATTTTTCTGAGAAGTCAAACAGTAAACTTATTCCAGCTTGAAAAATTAAAGGCAAATAAATGGACTTAAGTTTCTTTTTTGTTTTCCTTTAAAGTAAACTTTTAAGAACTTGCTATTTTGGTCGTTTCTTTTTATAAAAGTGAAATGTTTCGTACATAGCCTTTTTTTTTTAGTGTAGCCATTTTAAACAGAATTTTTCTCTGCCTTTTGCACTAGCCTTCTGGGTTTTTTGTTTATTTGTTTGGGGGCCACACTTGCTCAGGGCTTATTCCTGTCTCTGCATTCAGGGGACCATAAGGGAGTCTGGGGTTTGAATCCAGGTTCGCCTCATGCAAGGCAAGAATCCTACCCGCTGCATTACTGCTCCCACCCCTCACCAGACTTCTTTGAATGAAATTATTTCACCCTTTGACCACTAACATCTCTGTGTATCCAATTAGTCTGCATTTTCATCAAAGGTAAAAATTATTTACATACTTGCTGAATAATATAATTATTTTTACTGTTGCTATCTGTATCCATTCAGGATCTTCTCCATACTGTCTTCAAGAATGGAAAAGTGACAAAAAGCTATTCATTTGATGAAGTAAGAACAAATGCAAAGCTGAATATTGAACTGGAAGCAGCACCTCATTAGATTTTGTTTTATGACTGGGTATGTGTGTGTGCGTATGTATGTGTTTACGTGCATGTATGCACGTATACCTGTGTGTATGTAATACGTAATGTTAATTGTAAAGATGTGTGTGGGGTTTCTTTGTGTTATCGATACATTACAGCCAAATTATTTGTTGGTTTATGGACATACTGCCCTTCCATTTTTTCCCTGTGTTTAGGTGATTTCAAATTAGGAAATACACTTAACTATGTAAAAGATTAATGCTGAAGCAAGCTTTTTAGGGCCCTTTGCCAATAGATAGTAATTCAATATGGTATTGATCTTTTCGCAAATAACAGAACTGAGAAACTTTTATATATTACTGAAGATCACATAACACAGATTTGCATAAAATTATCATGATTGCTTTATGTTTATATTTAACTTGTATTTTTGTACAAACAAGATTGTGTAAGATATATTTAAAGTTTCAGTGATTTAACTAACGGTCTTTCCAACTTTTCATGATTTTTATGAGCACAGAATTTCAAGAAAATACTTGAAAAATAAATTACATTGCCTTTTGTCCATTAATCAGCAAATAAAACATGGCCTTAACAAAGTTTTTTGTGTTGTTGTACAGTTTGAAAATTATGTCAGGATATATCCTATAGAATTAACTAACCTCACTGCCCCTTGTAGAATATGTATTAATCATTCTACATTAAAGAATTGATAGTTCTTACTGGAATGTCTAGGCACTGTACAGTGATGATATACTTCGGTCATTGTATTGTACCAGTGAAATGCCAAATTTGAAAGGCCTGTACTGCAGTTTTGTATGTCAGATATTGCCTGTGGCTCTAATATGCACCTCAAGATTTTAAGGAGACAATGTTTTTAGAGAGAATTTCTGCTTCCACTACAGAGTATATACATAAATGTAAAATATTGACAATAGTGGAAGTAGTGTATTTTAAAGTAATTACAGTCCTGAATTTATTTTTCCTATTCTATAGTTGATATGACTTAAATGACTTACTGGAATGGGTAGTGAGTGTATTTACTTTAATTGTTTTGATTCTGTTATATTTTTCATTAAGTTTTTTAAAAATTAAATTGAATATTAAATTGTATGGACATCATTTATTAATTTTAAACTGAGTCCCTCAATAAATGAAACTCGAGCAGTTTCTTAAATCAAGATAAATTTTGCCCAATTAACCATCACATGAAAGAATTTTAACCAGAAACAGAAAGTTGGTGAAGTTCAAAGTGTTCAACATCAGAAGAGTAATGAGTCTTTGTGTTCTTGAGTCAGTTATCACATTTGCCAAAATCAGGATTTTTTGTTTTGTATTTTTGGTAGGTTATTTCTTCTAAGACAAGGCGTTAGCCAACTATGGCCTGTAATCAAAATTCAGACTACAGACTATCACTTTTTTTTTTAAATAACTTTGTCTATGGCTGTTTTACTCACACCAGCAATAGAAATTGAGTAGTTCTAGTAGCAACCACTAGTCCACAACCCAAGCTATTATCAGGCCATATACAGAAAAAAATTTTGTCAATCTTATTCTAAGAAAAGACATATGCTTTAAGTTTGTGGGCAGGGTTGATTTCCAGAGAAGGGAAGAGGATAGGTTGACAAAAAGTTTCTTCTCATTTAAGAAACTGATATTGGAGGACTGGTTTAGAAAAGCTCTGACAACATGGTGTGAATGTGAAGTTTTTAAAAATAAAAAGCCATGTCATTCATCCTAAACAGTGACATGTGAGAGTTTCAGATCCGTAAAATAATCTAGAATGAATTTGTTCAATGTCTTTTATAAGCATCACTAAAAGAAGATAGGTTTGGGCCTGAGCAATCATATAGCAGGTAGGGCACTTGCCTTGCACATGGCTGACCTGGATTTGATCCCTGAGTGCTGAGCCAGGAGTAAACCCTGAGCACTGCCAGGTATGGGCCAAAAAAAAAGAAAATAGGTTTTTGCAGCTGATCCTAAACATTTGTTTAATGACAAATATTTATTAATCACTTTCAGTAATTTTTCATCCCGTGATCTCTGCTAGAAAACACTTTTAAAGCTGATTTTTAAGGTATTTGAGTAAAGGCTAGTGTATTAAGAGCATGCCTTTCATAAAATGTGCTAATTTTTAAAAATTATATTAGCAGTACAACTTTAATAAACACCCATAATCTTGATTTGTTTTAGAAATACTGGGATTATATTTTAGACAATGTTCTTCATACACTGAATTTCAGCCATTTCACACTATCAGAGTTTTATTTTAAAACTTTCTGTAAAAGCTTTTACAGTATCTATATATTTGCATATCACAATAGATTATAGGCGGAGTAATCATTAGCTCTTAGCCACTTGGAACTAACCTCGATTTCTACCATTACACGCTTATTTGGCTCTCCCCATTCTGAGTAGCAGCAAACTGGTTAACAGACAAGCATATTAAATAAAATTGCTGTGTTCTATTTAAGTAAGCCTATATCTTCCCTACAAAAGCAAGTGGCATGTATAGGTTTGCTTAACTCATTGTATTTGCAGTTGACATCAATTATATCCCCTTCAGTTTATAAAACCTTGAAGTATTTGCATTTTAACTAGGAGATAGCTGTGGTGAGATTCTTAATTTCTCTGTGCTCTATACATAAGTAAAATGGTTTTCATGATTAGATTGTTTTTAAACAAATTTTTATAATGAATTCCATCTTGGAAAATTAGAAAGGTAAAAATGGCAAGGTATTGTTCTGTTTGCCATTTTTACATTCCTTTTAAACCCATTCAGTGGAGAATGTCAGCGTTTCTCCCAAGTTGTATGTTAAATTAATTCTAATATGTATTCACATCAAAGATAAACATGTAATAAACACAAAAATAAAGTTTAGCTATATTAGTGGAGTGTTACATTTGACTCTGTGCTTGAAGTACTGACATTTCTAGACTTCGTTAGGCATGCCTCCAGTTCCAAGACTAAGAAGTGAGATGGGAGAGGTTTAGCAATCTGGATGGCAGTGCCTCTTAACTAAGAAAGAACACTGGCAGGAGAATAGTTCTGGGAGAAGAGCATAATTCCTGTGTTAAGATTTGAGTTACCTTGGAGACATTTTGATGTGAACATTATGTAGGTAGTTGGATGACATGATCAGGTGATAAAGGATCTGAAGATGAATTTGATATACATAGGTGGCCACTGAAAGCACAGAAGGTAATTTTGTAAGTAGGAAGTACATCAGACAAACCACAGGCATAGGCCAAATTCAGCTCACCATCAGTTTTCTAAGTATAGTTTTACTGAAAAATCACATGCCCGTTACTTTATTGTCTATGACTGCCTTCGTGCTTCAGCAATGGTACTGAGGAGTTACGACTGAGACATTATGGTCTGAAAATGAAAATCCTGAAATAATTTATAATGTGGACTTCTAAAAACAGTATGGGGTCCAGGAGATGACTCAGTGGGCTGGAGTGCAGACTTTGCATGTAGGAGCCCCATGTTCAATAATGAGCACTGGGAGAGCTAACATAGAGCCATCAGTAGCCCTTGAGCGGGGGTGGGTGGGAAGGGGGAGTGTGCCCATATCTGAATTGAATGGAAAGAGAAGAGGATATAGGCCACAAAATTTCAGGAACTCCTTTTATGAAAAGAAAGTAATGAGACATGAAAGCTAAAGAGATGAGAATAGTGTCAGGATTTGCCATCCTAAAAACCCAAAGTAAGGAAGTATGCTTGGGTAGTGAATGTTGCCGAGAGATCAAATAGAGTGCAGAAATACAAACTAAATCTTACTGAATTTAACATCCTGGAAATAATTGATGACCTTGAAATACTGCCTTCCACATGTAGAGAGAGAAGCTATTATACCAACTTCAAAGTTTTAGCTGTGAAAAGGAGGAATAGAATGTGTCAGTAGTGTGTTCTAAAGCTAGAGCTTTCTCTCTCAAAACAATTCAGGAAAGAGACAATTTCAGAAGAGCTAAAAGGTCTCCATGGTTGTGTCGGGTTCTAAAGATGATGAAGGAAAGTTTTTTTTTAGAGCAGTATTTCTCAGTCAACTACCTAACATCCTATGGGCCCTCCTCAGGTGAAAATACAAAAGGGGGAGACAACAGTAAGGAAATACATTGGAGGAGAGGAGGAGGGTATAGGCGTGTTTAACAGGCTTTGGTTTTCTTTGTAAAAGCAGAGACAGATCCCAGCATCAGGGAGAGGACTGGACTTCAAACATTTAGGATTTTTAGATCATTGTTGTGGAGAACAGAATGACCTGAGTTATAGTAGGGCGGCAGAACAATGCAAAGAATCTAACTACTTGGTAATTGAGAATTTAAGTGAAAATTTGCCCCTTGTGATTTTTTTGTTATTGTTCCCCATTATGTAACCTGGCTACAGAAACTTGGGAAATGGAGATGTCACTCAGGTTTTGCCAGATGTTTTGATAGGACCAAGGGATGATAATTGAATAATTGAGCTGTTGAAATGCTGCTTCATGGAAAGATCAACTTGATCGGTAAAGGACAGAAAGGCTCTTAAAGCTTTAAGAGAAGAGCCCACTGGACAGTCTGATGATGCGTCTCATCTCTTGGGAGTTGTTGAACAAGCAGGTTTGGAAGGACAGGTAGTGCTAAACTGAAACCAGGATACTTGGAGTAATGATCTGACTTAAGAAAAGTGCTTGGAGGACTCGTAGAGGGCAGAAAGCTGAATCAGGCTCCAAAGGATTAAATGAGTGAAGGGAAGGGACTAGAAGGGATATACGCATCAGGTAGGGGAGACCTTAAGCCAGGAAAGGTTCAAGAGATGGAGCTCAGCCTCTTAGAAGGAACCAGGCACATGTGGATAAGTACAAACTGATTAGCAAGTGCTTTCTCTATTGACAGAAGTCTGAGGTCCTTCCTTCAAACATTAGTCGTATTAATAAACAGATGGAGGGAAGGCACAGTCTAGATTTAAATGCCTTGGTTTTTTTCTCTTGCCATAAACTTTTCACTAACACAGCCCCGAGACATCAAGTGCTTATATTTTTTAATATTGTTTACAGCGTTTTAAGACTTACACTTACTTAAGAGTGACCAGCCAAAGCATTCTGCACCAACACCTTATTTTAAATTATCCTTTAGTTTCACTAAGAGTTACTCATTGTTTTCTCATCCCCAGGGACAGCTCAGTGGTTCATAGTTTATTTCACTGAAACTTACTTATTTGACTTGTTTATGCAGAAGTAATTTATTCTTGAAGGAAATTTTAGAATCCTTAAAATGAATAATAAAATGATTTCACACACAAAAAATTCCTAACATACTGATTTCACAGGAAAAAAATCCTAGCATGTATGTGTAGATCCATGATTAGAAATTTTGCCTGCATGCTATCACATGGGCTGACCTTACTGGCGTGCAGGTCTCTTGTAACTGAACAAATGCATTCGCGAGAGGCATGAGGCTTTTACAAAACACCGCTCATCTCTTGGTGAGTAGCATAGGTTGCCCATTGGAATTTCTTCCCATTAGAAAAATGCAGAAAGCATACTTTGATTAGCAAGAAAATTTAATTAAAAAATACAGATACTGGCCTAGTGAGAGAGTGCAGCAGTTACGGCATATGCCTGACCCCACTTTGATTTTCAAAACCACTTGGTCCCCTTAGCATTGCTCTGCACAGCCCTCGAGGCCACTGAGCATCACCAGTGTGACTCGATCCCCTCCTCCCCCCACTGAGTCGCTCAGGTATCCTCAGTCCCAAGGACAAGCATTCCGCAGGCCTTTGCATTAAACTGCCAAGCAAAGTTGGCCAAGGATCACCAGTGGAGAGCCCACACACACCCCTTTCCCCCAGCCGCTTAAGCATTCCTTTGGAGGCAAAAATGATAGGGAGGGAGATATCGAGCGCGGGAGAGAGAATACATAATGCTCCACTCTTTTTCTCTCTTTAGTTTTTGGACCACACCAGCAGTGCTCAGGCTTACTGGCTCTCTGCTTAGGGATCACTCCTGATGGTGCTCAGGGGTCATATGGGATGCTGGGATCGTAACCCAGGCCAGCCATGTGTAAGGCAAGTGCCTTACCCACTGTACTATCTCTCTAGCACCCTCTTTTAAAAAATTATTTTGGGAGGGGGCAACCAAGTAGTTCTCAGGGTGCCCAGGGCCCCTCCTTGTGATTCTCAGCCAATCTGG